GAGAGTGGTGGTTTGGGAGGGGGGAGGGGGGGATGTAGGAGCGTGTATCCTGACAGAGCAGCATATTTTTCTTTTTGAAAAATATTATTCTTTTGAGACCGGGGTCGTTTATCGGTTGTTGTCTTTTATTATATTGGGAAGGATACATCGAAGGATACATATTCAAACATCAACTTTTTCTTTCTTTCTTTTTAAGAACCGATTGCGAAAAAAGGCGGGACATTGTTATCAAAATTCTCCCTTTGAGTCCCCGTAGTCTGACGTCACGCGTTCGCCTACATTACCAGGTGAATCCAGGTGAATCCGAGTTATAGTAATCCATATCGTTCGGAACAGAAACAGGATTCATTTAACCAGGCAACATCGAAACATTTCTTTCTTTCCCAGATGTTAGAGAGGAAAGAAACAGCTTTCATGTTTGCCATAAAATATTTCGGACATAAATATAGCTACGTTCTGCAGCGCAGGAACTCGACAAGGAAAAGATGAAGGGGTAAAGAGAGAAGAAGGGAGAGAGATGGGGGGGTGGAGGAGAGAGAGAGAGAGAGAGAGAGAGAGAGAGGAGAGAGAGAGAGAGAGAGAGAGGAGAGAGAAGAGGAGGGAAAGAGAGAGAGAGAGAGAGAGAGAGAGAGAGAGAGAGAGAGAGGAGAGGAGAGAGAGAGAGAGGAGAGAGAGAGAGAGAGAGAGGAGAGAGAGAGAGAGAGAGGAGAGAGAGAGAGAGATAGAGAGAGAAGAGAGTGAGAAAGAGAGAAAAGAGAGAGAGAGAAGAGAGAGAGAGAGAGAGAGAGCAGAAGAGAGAGAGAGAGAGAGAGAGAGAGAGAGAGAGAGAGAGAGAGAGAGAGAGAGAGAGAGAGAGAGAGAAGAGAAAAAAAAAAAAAAATACTGGCAATTGAATTGGAATTTTCTTGTGTCGTTCTATTGTATTCTGGAAATTAATTCTTTGTTAACATGGCCGCGATTCCATTTCCGGTTTCCCCTTTTTACTCGTTACTGCTGTGCCCTTTCTTTTCTTCCGTTTCCTTTAACATATTTTCTTTCTTTTTTTTTTCTTTGAGATCTATTTGGTTTTAAATCGATTCCACTTATCTATTTATTTACTTTTTATCTTAATCTACGCTATCATCTATATTTTCAAGACGCAGATATTCCTATTCTTTATTACTAACAAAGGCTAGATATTCACGCAATTTAATCAAAATTACGCATCCAAATGACAATAATTCACTGTGTTGATAAAGAGAGAAATCCAGAGAAAAAAATCTATGATTGAAATTTATCATATTTCCTCGTCTATTTATTTCTTTAATTAATTTTTTCTTTGTATATTTTTAGATCTCCGGTTCTAAGACGGTTGGTTCTTCTTGTGGTTCAATACATGCCCTTGTTCAGCACTGTCTATTTTTCTTTCATTTTTGCTTCTCTCCTCTCCCTTCCTCTCTCTCTCGCTCTTTCTTTCTTTCTTTCTCTCTCTCTCCCTCCTCTCTCTCTATTTTTCTTTCATTTTTGCTTCTCTCCTCCCCTTCCTCTCTCTCTCTCTCTCTCTCTCCCCCTCCCTCCTCTCTCTCTCTCATTCCCCATCTCTTTTTCCCTTCCTACTCCCCTTCTTTGTCGGTCTGTCTGTCTTAGTCAGTCTGTCTCTCTTTCTCTCTCTCTCTCTCTCTCTCTCTGTCTCTCTCCTCTTCTCTCTCTCTCTCTCTCTCTCTCTCTCTCTCTCTCTTTTCTTTCTTTTTCTTTTGGGTTGTCCTAACTTTTGTTTCCTTTATGTTCAGCTGGATGACTTTTGCAAAAATCATAATTGTGAAAAGTTGGCATAAGGGGAAAACACGTGTGGGATCAGCACTATCAAAGGCTTTATGAAAATAGATTGTATTCTTGTATTTAAGGATATTAATTCTGTCCATCTTTCTATCATATATCTATTGCCGCGTCTCCTCTCTCTCTCTACCTCTCCTTCCTCTTTCTCTCTTTCCCTCTCTCCTTCTCTCTCTCTCTCTCTCTCTCTCTCCTCTCTCTCTCTCTCTCTCTCTCTCTCTCTCTCTCTCTCTCTCTCTCTCTCTCTCTCTCTCTCTCTCTCCCTCTCCTTGCCTCTCCCTCTCTCCTTCCTCTCCCTCCCTCCCTCTCCCTCCCTCCTCTCTCCCTATCCCTCGCTCCCTCCCTCTCTCCACACACTCACTACCCACCTCCCTACCAACCCATCCATCTCCCCAATCTCCTATCTATCTAATAACGATTAATAAAATAACACATCATCAACAACACCATTAGCAGACACAACAACGACTGACCCAACACCACACAACAATACCGCAGCGTGTATAAAAAAAAAAAAAAAAAAAAAATCATACAGCGTCACGTTCCATTGTATTCCGTTGGAACTGTATAAAAATGCGTATATTGGATCATTTTACGCATTCATTTCGCCGGAGAATTTTACCGCTGTGTTGTGATTTGATTACTGGTTGTGTTGGGAGGGAGAGAGAAAAGAAGGGAGGAAGTGGAGAGAGCGAGGAGGAGAGAGAAAAGAGGGAGGAGAGAGGAGAAAGAGGGAGGAGGGAAGAAGAGATAAGAGGGAGGAGGGAGAGAGAAAAAGCGGAGGAGGGAGAGAGAAAGAGGGAGAGAGAGAGAGAGAAGAGAGAGGAGGGAGGGAGAGAGAAGGAGGTGAGGAGGGAGAGAGAAAGAGGGGAGGAAGGGAGAGAAAGAGGGAGGGAGGGGAGATAGGGGAGAGAGGAGGGAGGAGAGAGAAAAGAGGGAGGAGGGAGAGAGAGGAGGAGGGAGAGAGAAGAGCTTGAGGAGATGAGAGAGAGGAGGGGAGGAGAGAGTAAAAGGGAGGAGGAGAGAGAGAAGAGGTTGTGAGAGGAGGAGAGAGAAAGAGGGAGCGAGGGAGAGAGGGAGGAGGGAGAGAGAAAGAGGGAGGAGGGAGAGAGAAAGAAGTGGAGAGAGGAAGGAGAGAGGAAAGGGGAGGAGGGAGAGAGAAAGAGGGGGAGGAGGGAGAGGTGGAGGAGGAGAGGGAGGAGGGAGTAGAGAAAGGGGGAGGATAGGAGAGAGGAAAAGAGGGAGGAGGAGAGAGAAAGAGGGAGGGAGAGGAAGGAGGGAGAGAAAAAGAGGGAGGGAGGGAGAGAAAAGAGGGGAGACAGAGGGAGAGGGAGAGAGGGAGAGAGGAAGAGGAGAGGAGGAGAGAGAGAGAGAGAGAGGAGGAGGGGAGAGAAAGGGGGGAGGAGGGAGAGAGAAAGGGGAGGAGGAGGGAGAGAGAAGGGGAGGAGGGAGAGAGAAAGAGGGAGGAGGTAGAGAGAAAGAGAGGAGGGAGGAGAGAGAGAACAGAGGGAGGAGGGAGATGAGGGAGAGGGAGGAGGGAGAGAGAAAAGGGGAGGAGGAGAGAGAAAGGGGGAGGGAGAGAGAAAGGGGAGGAGGGAGAGAAAAGAGGAGAGGGAGGGAGAAGAGAAAGAGGAGAGAGGGAGAGGAGAGAGGAGGGAGACAGAGGGAGGAGGGTGAGAGAGAGACAGAGGAGGAGGGAGAGAGAAAGGGGGCAGGAGGGAGAGAGAAAGAGGGAGGAGGAGAGAGAAAAGGGGGAGGAGGGAGAGAAAGAGGGAGGAGGGAGAGAGGAGGAGAGAGGAGGAGGGAGAGAGAAGGGGAGGAGGAGAGAAAGAAAGGGAGAGCGGAAGAGGGAGGAGAGGAGAAAGAGGGGGAGGGAGAGAGAAAGAGGAGAGAGGGAGAGAAGAGGGAGGAGGGAGAGAGAAAGGGGGAGGAGGGAGAGAGAAAGAGGGAGGAGGGAGAGAGAAAGGGGAGGGGAGAGAGAAAGAGGGAGAGAGGGAGAGAGAAAAGGAGGGAGGGGAGAGAGAAAGAGGGAGGAGGAGAGAGAGAAGAGGGAGGAGGGAGAGAGAAAGGAGGAGGGAGTGAGAAAGAGGGGGGAGGGAGGTGTTTTGTTGGTTTGTGTAAAAAAGGCATCGGTGTTTTGAACGTGTGACAAAGGGTGTAAATATTTGATGGGAACATTGGAATACATGCATATATATATCGGTGTGTGTGTGCTATACATACATAACATACATTACATACATACTACATACACACACACACACACACACACACACCACACACACACACACACACACACACACACACACACACACACACACACATATATATATATATATATATATATATATATATATATATATATATATATATTATATATAAATTATATATATATATATATATATTATAGTATAATACATATATACATATATATACACACACACACACACACACACACACACACACACACACACACACACACACACACACCACACATATATATTTATACACACACACACGCACACACACACAATATATATATATGTACATACATACATACATACACACCACACACTATATATATAGTATGTGTGTGTGTGTGTGTGTGTGAGAGAGAGAGAGAAAGAGGAGAGAGACAGATAGACAGTTAAATAGGTAGATAGATAGATGGAAGAAGAAAGAAGGAAAGAGGACACCAAGATAAGGAAAAGAAAATATGAATAAATAAAACTACCAACAACAGAGAGAAACAAAATCCAGGGCAACCCCCCCTCTCTCTCTCTCTCTCTCTCTCTCTCAAAAAAAAAAAAAAAAAAAAAAAAAAAGACAAGGCAAAAAGAACAAAAACAAACAAACAAATATATAATGAATAAATAAATAAATAAAAAAGAATCACTTCATATACCCCCCCACCCCCTACCCTAACCGACCCCCACCTTCTCCCCCGCACAGAATCCATAGCCATGAACCCCCCCCCCCCCAAAAAAAAAAGTAATAATTAATAATAATAATAATAATAATAATGATAAAAATATTTAAAAAATACACACTAGAAAAAAATACTGTTATCTGCCCAAATAAAAAAATATATAAAAAACACACACTAGAAAAAAAAAATACTGTTATCTTCCCAAATAATTTTTATAATCCACCAAAATGATCATAAACCCACCTTCTCCCCCGCCCAGATCTCTTCGCCGCCGACGCCCACACCGCCATGGACTACACCTCGGGCATGGGCGGCATGGGGGGGATGGACCCCGAGATGGACATCTTCACCTCCACCAAGCTGAACGTGGCCACCGAGGACGACTCGACCTCCCAGACCGACGAGGAACTGAACGCCCTCTTGGCCAACCTCACGACGCCGCTGCCCACGCTGGCCGCCGACGGGTCTCTGGCCGCCGACGGACCCAACTACCCGAAGAACATGCTCGGGTTCACGGCGGCGTGCGCGTTCATCATCGCGGTGATCGGCACGTTCGGTGAGTGGGCGGGTTGGGGAACGGGTCTGTGAACGAGTCTATATTTAGTCTCTCTCTTTTTTTTTTTTTTTTTTTTTTTTTTTTTTTTTTTTTAGCTTGACTTGCTGATTGGTGTTTGTAAGGGATCAATGGTATACACTCGGTGTTTCGTATTTATAATTGGGGTATCAGTACAATGGTAACAAGCAACCACACATACACACACACACACACACACACACACACACACACACAGACACACACACACACACACACACAATATATATGTAAGGTCCAGATTCGTCAGGCAAGGTAAAAGCACAAAATGCTGCAACTCTTTTTCATTTGTTCCAACCTGTAAAAGTTTCGATAATATAGTTCACAGAAAGTTACATAAATATAAATGTTGAAATACAAAAAGGCTGGTTAACAATCCATAAATTCACAGTGAGGGTAAATGTAATTGAAATACAACAGAAAAAAAAAAAAAATGGTTAGCAATGATCACAACCAAAATAATACATGATATCCTTATACAACGATAATGCAATATAATTCAAAATAAACATAAATGCTTTCATAACAATCTCATAAACTTCAAATCTCATCAAGCCAATAATAATATATTCATATTGAAAGGTAGCATCTCACAACACATGGTTATTAGCATTTCACTGCCATAGAATATGTTTAAATCAATTCCGAAAGTCTTATAATCATATCTCAAAACCTTGAATTTTGAAATTATATTACTCACAACACTGTCGGCACCATCTGCACCAAGACAAAGTGCAGAACGTCTTAAGTGGCACTGTCATGTCTCTTAAGCGGCACTGTCATGTTCATGTCTCTCACCACTGTAATGTCTCAGAAGGGCACACTTACTGTCCCTGTACATTCACTTGCCCTGGAGTGTACAATCCCTTGTTGCTTACGTTTGTAATTGCGATTCCACCTTCAAATATCAAATTATTTCTCAAACGCCCGCCTCCCGTGTTCGTTTCTCTGTTGACTCCTCTCTTCTCCCCGTTCCAAGAAGATATTATAAAATATACAGTAAAATAACAGTTCATGGTTCCTCTCTCTTAAGTAATAAATCATCAGAAATTACAACAGTCCTCAATGCTCATAAGAAAAGGTCTAAGATTGTTTATATTGATTTATAAATGTATAAACAAGTATTCCAAAAGATAATGTTGGAACTTCATGCAAAAACAGAAAACACAAATAAACATAAGTGGAAACTATTCTACTCAATACGATTCAAGAATCGTGTTACAAATATATATATATAATATATATATATATATATATATATATATATATATATATACATACAACATACACACACACACACACACACACACACACACACACACATATATAATATATATATATATATATATATATATATTATATATATATATATATATATATATATACATGTATTTATTCTCCAAAGAAACAGGACTAGTCAAGCTCATTTTGGTTGGCTAATGACTACCTATTACAGATAATTACCACCACGCGCTCCAAAGGGCTATTATCCTTACTAGAGCAATCAGACGAGAGTGATTCAACTTTTTCGGTGAAATTTCAAAATGCTTACATTGCAAAGGTATACAGTTAGTGGGTGTATTCTCCTGGGTGTAGTCTGTTGCATGAAAACCTTCAAGCTCGATAGCAGGGATCTGTAGCCTTTCTATTCAAGGAGTTGATTGGTTAATTGCCAGTTGTCATAATTATCAGAGTTGTTGTTTTGATATTAATCTCCATTTCATTTTTTATCATCGCCACTCTTGTCATCAGCTTTGAAATTAGTCTTGTTTTTGGTAATAACAGAAACATCGCGACAGTTCATGGTTCTAGTAACAACAGAACTTTTGGAATAACCATTTTCCTCGCTTTCTCTCCGGAACAGGCAACCTACTGACTATCATTGCGCTGCCCATGAGCAAGAAACTACGTACCACAGCCACCGCATTTGTGGTGAACCTCGCCGTTGTAGAGCTCCTGTTCTGCGTGTTCATTCTACCCATGTCCGGTGCTCAGTACCTTTTCCTTCAGCACACCGGAGACTCGCTCCTAAGTGACAGAGATTGTATTTTCTTCGCTGTGACGCGGTACACACTCACCCAGGTGGAACTGCAGACGATACTGGCCATCGCTCTTACCAGGTGTGTGTGTGTGTGTGTGTGTGTGTGTGTGTGTGTGTGTGTGTGTG